TAAGGTGACTTGTTTATGGCTGACGCTAATTCTGCATCCTCCAAGCACTCCTGGAGTCATTAGGCTAGCTGGGGTGCGTGAGATGCTGAAATCTATTGGTCATGTTTGATTTGGAGGCATATTTAGCACAAACTCTCTGTGGGGACATATGTTGATTTGTAGATACAGAGTCTCTTGGCTATGGTGTGTAACCATGACCTTTAGTGCTTGGCTCAGTGAATCACTCCATTCAGCAAGTGCTTTTATTGAATCCTTATTATGTATCAGCCAGTGTAGCAGGTGGTAGGGATAGAGATGAAGGACACAGGCAGTCCTTGATTTCATGGGTCAGTGTAGGAGACAGGTAAGTGGAAAAACAATTACCCTCAGTTTGGTAAGTGCTAAGGAAGCACACAGGAGGTGCACTCTGCCCTGTCTGGCTGTTGGCTGAAGGAGGGGGTGAAGTGATTCTTCAGCAGTCTTAAAGGATAAGAATAAAGGGCCGAAGAAGAGAAAGGGTGGGGTAAGGAGAGGGTGAGAGGCAATAAAATGTTATTCCAGGCAGAAGGACCAAGATGAAGAAGTGAGACACAAGTAGATCTTTCTGGCTGAAGTGCCAGGTGTGCCTGTGGGTAGGGAAGTTGTGGGGGAGGCAGGAGCCAGAGCAAGAAGGGTTTGGATGCCATGGACAGCACTGTGGACTTTATCTTAAAGGCACTGGGAAGTTATGAGGGTATTAATCAGAGGAGTGACAAGATCAGATGTTTAGAAAAGGTCTTTTTGGCAGCAGTGTGGAGGATGGAATGGAGGCTCCAGGGAGGGCCGATAGGAGATTTTTGCTAGAGCCCAGGAAAGAAGCAATAAAAATTTAAATAAGGCGGTAGGCCTTATTCTGTACCAGACAGATCATGAATTTAATGTCAGTTCCTTCTAATATTAACTGCGTGACCTATGGCAAGTTACCTTACCTCTCCAAGTCTCACTCTCCCATATATAAGATGGTTCAATGAGTACTTATCTGGGAAGATTGTGAAGATTAATTGTAAATGCTTGGTACAGTGCCTGGAAAGCAGTAATCACTAAAAAACGACATCTTTATTCTTATTCTTGTTCTTATGCAGCCATCCTGATGTGGATAGTCTCTGGAAAAACAGGCGCTGAAACAAGGACCTGGGGGCAGGGCTTCCCAGGAAGCACAGTGAGGAAAGTGAGACAGGGAGGGAGGAAACCAATGAAGAGGGTGTTACTGAGTGGGTCGCTGCTGTGGTATGTGGGGCTCAAATTCACTTGAAACCCTCAAGAGATAGAAATTGTTCCTGCAAGGGATGGGAAAATGGGAGTATCTATCCACCAACACCTGTCCTAATTGGCTGAGGGATGGCGCTGCAGGTCTTAAATCCCCAGTACAGACTGCTCTGTGCACAGGCCAAACAAGCTTCTGTGGCCCCAATTCTGGTGGGACTCGGAGTCCTCAGCAAGTCTCAAGCAGCAGACACAGATGCTTGAGATGGAGGCTGTCATTGCGTAACCGGAGTGCCCATTGCAGTTGAGGTGAACTCAGAGATCAACAGTGGGGACATGGGCAGAGCGTCATATCTGCTATAGTGGAGTAAGGGACAATTAAACAGTATGTAGAAAATAGACCTTGATGAGTGGAAGTAAGAAATATGGTGAAGTCTTTTGTGTTTTTGGTTTGATCTACAAACTGCAGTCCCGTTAATTGAGTTTAAAACATTGCCAGAGGGCTCGTTTTGGGAGTAATGGTGGCAGAGAAGGAAGGATGATTTTGACTTGGACGTGCTGAATCCGAGACATCCCTGATCTTGTCTAGTGTCATACTGAGTTGGCAAATGAAATTTCCCTAATTCTGTTTTAAATTATGCAGGCTTCACTTTGACATGTTGAAATTCCTTAAACAAGTTTTGTGGGGGCCAAACCTGTACTAATGAGTAAAGTAAAGAA